ATCTAATTTATTTATAATGAAGTATGTAGCAATCTAAGTGATTTTTCTTATTCTTTTAGCATTTCTCTTGCTCATTTTTAAACACTGCTATAAAAATATTACTCATATTGCAACTTTTGGAGTGTTTCATAATTTTAAAATATGCCTCCAGGTTGTGAGGCATTTATTGCCAAATAATTAGAAGAAAGCTGTGTAAATTTCAGTAATAAGTAATTACTTAACAAGCAAAACCTAGGTGGAGATCCCAGAAAGTAATTACTAAGATTTAAGACACAATATGTATTAGTCATTTACTTTCTTTTAATAGGAAAAACGTGGTCTTCGAGAAATGCGAGTTCTTGAAAATTTGAAGAACATGGTCCATGAAACAAACGAACATACTCTTCCCAAATGTAGAGAAACAATGCAGGACAACTTAAGCCAAGTTCTTCAGAGATGTAAGCCCGTGAAATTTTAATTATCGCTTTTCATTTCAAATAAATGCTACATAAAAGTGTATTTTCTTGAGTATTATGATGGGAGGTGGAGAGGAATTCGTACCCTGGATATACGTAGTCTGAGAGGAAAACCCAGTCACAGAGAAAGTGATTGTCTAGTGATTAACGTGTGTTACATTGATGTTAAGAGCATTAATTGCCAAAGCAAGATCTGTGTGCATCTGTAGTACACAAAATAATCCTTTTGGTATGAGAAATTTTAAAAGTATTTTACCTTTTTTTAAAAAAGTATTTATCTGGCTCAGCACCTGTGGCTCAAGCAGCTCAAGCACCAGTCACATACACTTTAGATGACGGGTTCAAATCCAGTGCGGGCCGCCAAACAACAATGATGGCTGCAACCAAAAATAGCCAGGTGTTGTAGGGGAGCGCCTGTGGTCCCAGCTACTTGGGAGGCTGGGGCAGGAGACTCGCTTGAGCCCAGGAGTTGGAGGTTGCTGGGAACTGTGATTCCACAGCACTCTACCCAGGGTGACAGCTTGAGGCTCTGTCTCAAAAAAAAAAAAAAGTTTTTATCTATAAAAAAAAGTTTGATGACCAGGAATGTAGAGAATATGAAATAGAACTTCTTTTTTAAAATAGGACACTAGAGGTTTTAGCCTTTTAAAAAAGTAATCTTTTCATAAATGTTTGTATTTTATCATTTTTTCATTAAGAAAAATATTTTAATGGGGAGACTTGGTTGATCAAAAGGAATATAAATATTCTTTAATATCAAGCTATAACATAAAAGTGTATTAATAACTGATTTTAAAATTAGAAGTATATAAGAAACTTGAGGCTCTTCTCATCTATATTGACAACAGTTAGCTTATCCAAAGAGGGATAATGACAAATTAACTGGAATGCATATGGAAACATATATTTGGGGGTATAAAAAAAACAAAGCACAAAGCTGACCTGTAATAAGCAGGAGAGAGACTTTGGTTAGTAATTGAGTTTAATAAGCCTCTGTGTACAAGTTAATAGTCTTGGGTACTCTAATTCTAAAAAAAGATTGGAAAGGATAGCTCCCCCGAGATCACATTTGGTTTCTTTGAGTGGCAGAGCATAAAGTCTGAATTGATTTTTGGCTTTTGCATTTTACTACAAACATGTCCTTGTTTGCTCATATTCTCATGTCCTTAACCCTGAAAAAAGTTCTAGATAATTATGCTAAAGGGAAAACTCCAATTATTATCAATAAGAATGTCTTTATATGTGTTTAGACATCCACATATTGAGCAAATAGAAGTGAAATAGAAAAATATTACTGATAATTTGGAATTCACATTGTAAATGTATTTTCTTGAAAGACAGAATTAAAATACACAAAATGCAAAGTTAATAATTAAGGTTTTGACATCTGTGGAATACTTTGAGTCTTACTGTTAGCTTCAGAAACAAAGTGTTAGCTTTCAGAGTAGTTTTCTTGCTAGAAGCAATGAAAGCTTCTCACTGGACTTCATCATAAGTATTTTCTGGCACCCATTATGCCGAGTGTCACGGGTATAATGGAGATGATAATTCTCTGCCTTTAAAACTGATATATTTTTAAAAATTAACCAGGGCCCAGATGTCTTTTCTGGAAAATTTAATGTTTAAAAACTTTACGTTTTAAATCTTGACATTTTAAATCATGTGTTGACTTGTTTATTTTTGCTACTAATTGATCAGAGAGTTTTACAAAATGTTGAGCATTTTTATATACCTTTTGGCTATTTGTGTATCTTCTACTGAGAAATGTCTATTCAGATCTTTGTTCTATTTTTAATTTGGATTATGTGGTTTTTTACTGTTGAGTGGTTTGCATTCCTTATATTTTCTGATTATTAATTCCTAGTCAGATGGGAAGTTTAAAGATATTTTCTCTCATTCTGAGGGTTGTCACTTGATTGTTTCCTTTGCTGTGCAGAAGCTTTTGAGCTGGCTGTAATCCCAGTTACCTATTTTTGCTGTAGTTGCCTGTGCTTTTGAGGTCTTACACAAAAGGTCTTAGCTTCAGTGTCCTGAAGCATTTGCCCAATGTTCTCTTCTAGTCATTTTATAGTTTCGCATTTTAGATTTAAGTCTGTACTCTATTTTGAGTTGATTTTTGTATTGTGAAAAATAGGGTCTTATTTCATTTTTCTGCATATGGTTTTTCAGTTTTCCCAGGAAAGAGGCTATTCTTTCCCCATGGCACTTTTGTTGAAAATGAGTTGACTGTAAACATGTGGATCTATGCCTGGGTTCCTTATTCTGTTTCATTTGTTCATGTTTCTGGTTTTTTGCCACTACCATGCTTTGTAGTGTAGCCAGATAGTCTTTTTGCTAAGGATTTCTTTGCTTGGAGTCTTTTATGGTTCCATATAAATTTTAGAAATTTTTTTCTATTTTTGTGAGAAATGTCATTAGTATTTTGATAGGGATTACATTGACTCTGTAAATTACTTTGAGTAGTATTGTCATTTTAACAATATTAATTCTTCCAGTCCATGAACATGGAATTTCTTTTTATTGATTTGTGTCCTCTTCAATTTTTTCATCAATGTTTTATGATTTTCCTTGTACAGATCTTTCACTTCTTTAGCTGAATTTATTTCTAGGTATTTGATATTCTTCATAGCTATTGTAAGTGGGATTACTTTCTGTACGCAAATGCTACTGATTTCTGTATGTTGGTTTTGTATTGTGCAACTTTACTGAACTTATTTATCAGTTCTGGTAGATTTTTGATGGATTCTTTTGGTTTTTCTAAGTATAAGATCATGTCATATGCAAAAAAAGTTTGACTTGACTTCTTTCTTTCCAGTCTAGATGCTCGCTCTTTCTTTCTCTTAATTGCTCTGGCCAGGGCTTCCAGTATTATATTGAATAGAAGTGGTGAAAGTGAGCATCCTTGTCTTGTTCTAGATCTTAGTAGTAGAAAGGCTTTCCACTTTTCCTGTTCAGTGTGTTGTTACCTGTGGGTTTGTCATTATATGGCTTTTATTATTTTGAGATGTGTTCTTTCTATACTCAGTTTGTTGAGAGTTTTTATGATAAAGAAACGTTGGATTTTATCAAATGCTTTTCCAGCATCTATTGAAAAAGAATCATATGGTTTTTGTCTTTGGTTCTATTAATGTGATATATCTTATTTATTGATTTGCATGTGTTTAACCATCCTTGCATCCCTGGGATGCATTCTTCTTGATTATGGTGAATAATCTTTTTAATATGTTGCCAATTATGTTTTGAACTTTATTTTTGGGATTCTATTGAGGATTTTTGCATCTGTGTACATCAGTGACGTTGGCCTGTAGGTTTTCTTTTTTTATTGTGTCTTTGGTTTTGGTAGCAGAGTAATAGTGGCCTTGTAGAGTGAGTTTGAAAATATTCCCTTCCCTTCAGTTTTTTTGAAGCATTTGAGTAGAATCGGTATTAATTCTTTGCTAAATGTTTAGAAGAATTTAGCTGTGAAGCCACTGGACCCTGGGCTTTTCTTTGATGGGAGACTTTTTCAATCCAGTTTCTCATTATTGATTTGTTTATGTTTTCTGTTCCTTCATGCTTCAATATTTGTAGGTTGAATGTGACTAGGAATTTATCCATTTCTTCTAGGTTTCCTAAGTGTTGTTGGAGTGTGGTTGTTCATAATAGTCTGTAATGATTCTTTATATTTCAGTGGTCTCAGTTGTTATATCTCCTTATACATTTCTGATTTTATTTTTCTGAATCTTCTCTTTTTTTCTTATTCAAACTGAAGGTTTATTGATTTATTTATCCTTTTAAAAACTGGCTTTTTATTTTGTTGATCTGCTTTTTTTTTAAGTCACAATTTCATCTTAGTCTCAATTTCATTTACTTTTGCTCTAATCTATATTATTTCTTTCTTTGAATAATTTTGAGATTGGTTTGTTCTTGCTTTTCTAGTTCCTTGAGATGCATTGTTAGGTTATTTGAAGTCTTTCTCCTTTCTTGACATAGACATTTATTGTTATCAGCTACCTTCTTAGCAGTGTTTTTGCCATATGCCAAAGATTTTGGTATATTGTATATCCATTTTCATTTGTTTCAATAACTTTTTTAATTTATTAATTTCTTCCTTGACCCATTGGTTGTTCAGGAACATGTTTAATTTTCATGTGTTTGTATAGTATCGGAGGTTCCTCTTATTACGGTTTTATTCCATTATGCTCAGAAATGATACTTGATATAATTTCTGCTTTTTTGAAATTGTTGAGATATATTTTGTGGCCTGTTTTGAGAATGTTACAAATGCTGATAAAAATAATGTGTATTTTGCAGCAGTTGGATGAAGTGTTCTGTAAATGTTTGGCCTCTTTGTTCTAATGTATAGTTTAGTGTTTCTTTGTTGATTTAAAGCTTAGGTGATCTGAGAGTGAGGTATTGAAGTTCTCTACTGCTGTTGCATTGCAGTTTGTCTGTCCCTTTAGATCCACTGATGTTTGCTTTATATATGTAGGAGCTCCAGCGTTGGGTGCATAGATACTTATAATTATTATGCCCTCTTGTTGAATTGACCCATTATCATTGTATAGTAACTTTCTTTGTCTCTTTTTATAGTTTTTGACTTGTAAAATATTTTATCTTATATAAGTTTCGCTACTCATGCTCTTCTTTTGGTTTCCAGTTGCATAGAATATCTTTTTCCACCCCTTCACTTTCAGTCTGTGTGTCTTTAAGCATGTAAATGCTAGATAGGTTTCTTGTAGGCAGCATATAGTTGGGTCCAGTTTTTGCATCCATTCAGCCACTCTGTGTCTTTTAATTTGAGAATCAAGTACATTTACATTCTGTGTTACTATTGATAAGTAAGAACTTACTGCCATTTTGTGTCTTATTTACTGGCTGTTGTGTAACTCCTCTTTTTTTCTTACTGCCTTATTTTGTGGTTAAGTGGTTTTTCTCTGGTGGTAAGTTTTAATTCATCACTTTTTGATTTCTTTGTGAATCTGTTAATTGATTTTTGCATT